CCAGCAAGTTTAGTGTTTCTGCTGTAATATTTAGCTCTTTAATCCACTTTGATCTTAGTTTAGTGCATGGTGATAGGTATGGGTCTAGTTTTAATCTTTGACAGGTTGAAATCCAGTTTTTCCAACACCATTTATTAAAGAGGCTAACAGAGCTGGGGATCTAGCTCAGCGGTTCTGCCGCTTGCCTTGCAAGCACAAGGACCTGAGTTCGATCCCTGGTACCAAAATAAAAGAAGAAGAAGAAGAGTAAAGAGGCTATCTTTCCTCCAGTGAGGATGGTTAGCTCCTTTGTCAAAGATGAGGTGGCTGAGTATGTCTGGAGTTGTTGCTGCATCTTCTAATCTATTCCACTGATCCTTGGGTCTGCTTCTTTGCCAGTACCATGCTGTTTTTATTGCAGTGGCTTTGTAGTATAGCCTCTGGTGCCTAGAATTATTTTTGCTATTCTAAGTCTCTTGTGGTTCCAAATGAATTTTTGGATTGTTTTCTCTAGATCTGTAAAATATACTGTTGGGATTTCAATTGGGATTGCATTGAATCTGTATATCAGCTTTGGAAGTACAGCCATTTTCACTATATTGGTTCTTCCTACCCAGGAACAAGGGATGTCTTTCTATTTTCTTATATCCTCTTCGATCTCTTTTTTCAGTGTTGTAGTTCTCAACGTAGAGGTCTTTTGCTTCCTTCATTAGACTGATTCCCAGATATTTCATTTTTTTGGATGCTACTGTGAAAGGGATTGTTTCCCTAATTTCTCTTGCAGTGAGACTGTTATTTGTGTACAAGAAGGCTATTGATTTTTGAGTGTTTACCTTGTATCCAGCTACTTTACTGTATCTATCAATTAAGTCTAGAAGTCTTTTGGCAGAGTTTTTTGGGTCTTCATTGTAGAGTATCATATCATCAGCAAATAATGACGGTTTAACTTCTTCCTTTCCTATCTTTATTCCTTTTATTTCTTCCTCTTGTCAAATTGCTGAGGCTAATGTTTCCAAAACTATATTGAACAAGAGTGGTGATAGTGGACATCCTTGTCTTGTACCTGATATTAGCATGAAGGTTTTCAGTTTTTAACCATTGAGTATGATGTTCACTTTTGGTTTTTAATAGATAGCCTTTATCAAGATGAGATAAAATTTTCTGCAGGGTTTTTATCATGAATGGGTGTTGAATTTTGTGAAATGCTTTTTCTGCATCTATTGAGATGATCATATGGTTTTTGTCCTTAACTCTGTTAATATAGTGTGCTACATTTATTGATTTACATGTTGAACCATCCTTGCATCCCTGGGATAAATCCGACTTGGTCAGGGTGTATGATCTTCTTGATGACCCTCTGTATTGTTTGCCAGTATCTTATTGAAGATTTTTGCATCTATGTTCATTAGGGAGATTAGCCTGTAGTTCTCTTTTCTTGTTGGGTATTTCCCTGGTTTTGGAATCAAAGTTACACTTGCTTCCAGGAATTAATTTGGAAGTATTGCTTCCCTTTCAATTTCATTGAAAAGTTTAAAGAGTAGTGGCAATAGTTCTTCTCTAAATGTCTTGTAAAATTCAGCAGGGAAGCCATCAGGACCTGGGCTTTTCTTTGTTGGTAAATTTTTAATTACGTTTTCAATTTCACTGATTGTAATTGAGGTGTTTAGAATTTTTATATCTTCTTTGTTCAACTTTGGTAATTGATATGTATCTAGAAATCTGTCCGTTTCTTCTGTGTTTTCCATTTTATTAGGGTACATATTGATGAACCTCTGAATTGCTGCTGGATCTGTTGTGACTTCACCTTTTTCATTCCTAAATCCATGGATTTGAGCCTTTTCTTTCCTTTTTTTGATAAGGTTGGCTAAGGGTTTATTGATTTTATTTATTCTTTCAAAAAACCAATTCTTGGCTTCATTGATTTTTTTGTATTGTTCTCTTAGTCTTCATTGCACTGATTTCTGCTCTGATCTTTAAAATTTCCTCCCTTGTACAAGTTTTTAGTTTGTTTTGCTCTTCTTGTTCTAGGAGCTTAAGATTCAGCATTAGGTTGTTTATTTGAGCTCACTCTGTTTTCCTAGTGTGGGCATTTACTGCTATGAATTTCCCTTGTAGAACTGCTTTCATTGTGTCCCATAGATTCTGACATGTTGTACTGGCATTACCATTTAATTGTAAAAACTGTCTGATTTCTTCTTTAATTTCCTCTGTGACCCATTGGTTGTTCCGAAGAGTGTTACTCAATTTCCACATGTTTGTGATGTTCTTGCAGTTTCTTATGCTATTGATCTCCAGTTTAATTGCACTATGGTCTGATAATATACACGGGATAACTTCAATTTCTTTGCATTTACTTAAACATGTTCTATGAATTAGTATATGGTCTATTTTGTTTTTGTTTTTGTTTTTTCTTTACTGATCACATAGGAAATTTCTTTACAGCAGGAACTGTCCAATATTGTAAAGACTTTACACTGATTGAAGTCTTCTGCCTCATTCAGCCATCAGCTCTCTCTAGGATGAAATTTCTAATGAATTCCAAGTTAGGAACTGTCACAGAAAACTAAGCCATATTTTTTCCAGTATGGATTATATGCTTACTTAGGCTTACACACACACTAACAGCTTTGCTACAGATACTGAATTTGTAAGATTTCACTCCCCTTTGAGTGCTCTGGGACATAA